AAAAATAGCACTGAGGCACCAAAATATTGCTCATTTGTCAAATCCGCCAATCCCAATCGACCTGCCGAGCAAATACTTATCATTTCCTCGTTATGTTACTCTAGGTATCATACCTACCCACGACTGCAGATATCACGCATTCCTATTTGAAGTAACACAAAAAGAAACAAGAAGAAACTCTACCCTTATGTAGGCAAAGGAAAATAGCGCAAGTGAAATTAGCCTTTTTCCTCCGGTCGAATTCGAGCAAAGCTCTCTCCCGAACTTTAGCGTAAGAATGTGGGCTCATGCAGGGTTGGCTGAAACGCCGCTTACATGCGGGAGCCGGTAGTGGAAGTTTCTCCACCCATGCGTAAAAGTGTGTATCGGTATATGTGAGCGTGTGAGCTCCGAGTTGCGATAATTAGTTTATGCGAACTGTTCGTTTGCTCTTTTACCCTCCACGTATACCACTTTGCTCTCGTATCGGCCAACTATACTGTACGAGAAGCGTCAAGATTAAAGGTACATAAATACTCACGTGCTATTTTTCATGTACCTTACGCAACATACAAATAAAACAAAAAAAGGTCATTAACGAGAACAACACTGGCGAAACGCTCGGTAAACTTAGGTAGAAAATTACGCTCTCTCTCGGACAACGACAACTAAGAACATTCGTCACTAGTCACCCTAAAAATCGTCGCTTTCACCGTACCCCTGTACGCAAAGAGAGAGAGAGAGAATCACAACTATCATCTGAATATGTACATACGCGTATATGTATATAGCCGCGACGTCGCTTTTCCAGACCGGTGAGCCTGCCCGTCGCCGGCATCGTCCTTTACATGCATAATTCTCGCCGGATGCGTCGTCGTCGTCGTCACCTCATCCGCCTATGCTAATTGCGTGTAACGTAATCTCGACTTTTCAAAGTTTCCATCTACGTATACACACACACACACACGCACACCACCGATGGAAATTCATAGTCGTTATTACCATCTTCCTCTCCCGAGGCCATCAAGCCCTCTCCTTCGTTGTTGGTCACGTAAATGCATTATTAATCAGCCAGTGTGTCGTCGGGTGTATCCCTGCCGCGATTGATCCCGCAGGTCATCGTCAAACAGAGTCCAGATATACATATAGGACAACCACACGCGCCGTTGATTCAATCAATCTCTGGGTCCCCTCATTGGGCGCCAACGCAAACTTTTCTTTCGTTTGGAATATCCTATGGAAAAAAAGGCCTCCATCTGTCATTATACGTTGTGGCCCAACAAGCATCGCGTGTGTACTAATGCCCCCACCTTCCAAACGGTGTACCGAAAACATTTCGCGGTATAAATAGCTCGACCACGAGAGTCCTGGGCGCATGCCACCCTTCCCGCCGAACCCCTCGTCTAATCAATGAGATTGGAACGCGCGTGCAGTGTGCCCACCTCACGTTGCCAACGGCATACCTCTCGTTCATCGGCGTCGTCGTCACTGTCGTCTGCTGTAGCTGGACCCGGCCAAAGTGTCGCAAGAGAGCCGCTGGCCATTTCCTGGCAAATTGCATTTCCTTTAACCGCAATCGCTCGTTATACTCCCTCCCTTCCCCTTTTGCTCCTGTGAAAGAAGGGATTAGGTATATAGGGAGAATCGGAACACGGGCTAAAATGCGCATACGTGCCCGTACCCTCGGAAATTCCCTTCGCTCTGAGTTACGGCTATGGTTGTGTGTGGCCGGGACTTTTTTTTACCGAAGGAACGGGGTTGAGGGGAGGGCCTTTATGGTTATCGGTTCGTGTGCGGGGATTGATTGAGAGGTTTTCGAGGATTTTAAGGGTTATTTTTTGCTATTAGGGTTACCATGGAGTTTTCTGTTTATGAAAATATGGGCTGAGATGTGAATGGTGACTTGGTTTACGTTCACACAATTTTACCTTTTTGAAAGTAAGGAAGAAACTTACGATTAAAAGTACGTTCTGATAGGTTAGGTTCGGAGAATCATAGCCAAGTCTATTATAAAGGGAAGAGTGTTTCTATGGACATTTCTTAGATCCGTATATTAAGCAATACCTTTCTGTTATTGATAATATTATTATTCGGAGAACATTTTTTTTCAAGATGGGGGATTCAATATGGCCGACACATTGGTTCAGCCACATTGAAAAGTCTGTCCTCGTAATCGAGATTAGCGATTATCGACCAGGAGATTTGATTCTTAAGAGAATCCTGACGAATACCACACATCTGAGGTTAGGTTGTAAAAATCCAGCATTTCGATGGAAATCTGTTACTAAATCCTTACGCATTTTTTCATTGCAAGTATATTATATTACTATCACATCCCTATGTCAGATGTTTTTGAAGTCGCACATCGTAAATCTGGAATCAGAATTGAGAATCTAACATGGAGGATCCAACATGGCCTACACATTGGCTCCACCATTTTAAATTTTAAAAGTTCGTCCTCGAAATTGTGATAAGCGATCATTAACCACAAGAGTTTTTTTTTAAGTGATCCTAGCACCTTTGGTCCAAAAAAGGGGGTTAAGGAACAATTGCGCATGCATGAGTTGCGTGTACACTGGTATATATTTGCATTTCAAATGAGCGACCCAGCAGAGACGACAACCAAGACAAACGGGCGTTCGATCGATCCAGTCGACTGGGTCCTGATGATTTTTTTTTTTTTTACAACTCTCTCTCACCTCGTCTGAAACGAAATTTTAATTCACCGATCTCGAACTAACGCAGATAAAAAAAACGCCGAAAAAATCCGATTAAAACAGCACAAGTACAGCTCCAGAAGCTTTTGTTCCCGTGGGTCAGCGCTAATTTATCGCCACAGCCAATGCAACAGAAACTTCGTATGGGGAAATGGAGAGGGACGTTTTTCAGCGTTAAAAAATATCTATACTAATATCGTTCAAGTGTAAGTACATCTCGCTCCGTTGCAGTTGTTCCTAATTGGAAAAGTGCTCTTTGCTCTCTCTCTCTCTCTCTCTCTTCGTAACGCATCGCACGATCGTGGTATGGGCTGCACTTATGGTACGACGTATTATGTTTTACGACGACGTGACGGAAATTCCGTACAGGGTCTTTGCGACGTTTGTACCTCTGCGATCTTTTGTAGTAATAACCGATCGGTAATAGTGTTGTTGACAATTTATCGAACGAACGCAAGTAAAAAATATCTAGGAAAAAAAATACGATCTTTAACAAACAAGCACCATGTAGCTGTGAGATTACCTATGTGTTTTTCTCTTATACCCACAATATGGATGCGCATAAGGAAAAGAAGACGTGTTAAGAAAAGTAGGGTATCAAAGGCAACAACATTTACTGCTGGAATTTAATGCTTCGAGCAATGCTGTATATATATATNCAAACGACGGACACAGCTATATATATATATATATATATATATATATATGTACTTACACTTGTAATAGCCAGTGGGGCTATACATACACAACAAGGTTTTGTACAGGACTTTTTACGTCTTGCTTTAACGCACGTGCTACTACCGTTTAACAGCACGAGAGTCGTGAATCGCGAAGAAATGGAGCGAGGGATCATACCGGACGTTTTCTCTTTTACTTTTGATGCTCTTGGTGTGATGGCGCTCGTTCGCGCGATAAGATGGTGATGAAGGAAGGAGGGGAATAATAATAATTGCTTGCACGTATACTTCTTTTTTTTTCCTTACTTAGCGTGTAATAGAATTTTCAAACTTTATTGCCGAAAAATGTCTCAACAGATGATGGTAGGTAAATTATCATAGGTACGCTTTTCTTAACAAAATTACAAGGAATTATAGGATAACTTTTCCTATTTCAATGTATACACTTACAACGACACCATCGAGCGTTAGCTACACACGTGTATATTACGTGTGTATATTTTTTGTATATAATCTTTATTTGTTTCGTAATCAAAAAAAAAAATAGTCATCTCAATATATAAACGTAAAATCGATGCGCACTTGCTAGTAAAATTATGCTCTTTTATTACAACGACGTAAATATCTCCTTCTATCCTTTTGTTGGCAAAAATAGACAACAATAACAAAAGTGGTTATCAATACAGGTTACTACGATTTTTTTGTGTTTTCTTACTTTTATTATTGCTAAAGTTTCATAAGTGAAGATCAAAGAAATTCTCGTCTCGTCCCTAATTATGGTATACAATATAGTTTACAGCACCTCGGAAGGTGGCATACATCCACACGCAAACATCCACACGATCGTCAACAATATTGCTTAACAATGTTTTTTTTCGCAACAATAGCAGTAACAATACTAATATTAATAATAGTAATAATGATAGTAATAGTGCTCATAATGAAAATTACACTCTTTATCTCGTATGGACGAAGATTACATCTAAAAGTAGCATCTGAGAGGAGGTACACGCGCCACGGTATGAAAATAATATCGCACGTGTACCTCCTTCATTTCGTTGGCGCCTTTATTCATTGTAATATTGCATCATAATATATATATTTATTTATATAATTATATCAACGCGCTCGAGTATGTCACGACCAGCGTTCCGTCGAGCTGATACATCCAATACGTATTTTCTCCTCTTATTTCATCTTCTTATGTAATTAAATTTATATATTAATAATAATAATGATAATAATAATAATAATAGTAACAAATTATTTATCATAGTCGTTTATTCGATCTGTCATCGATTAATTGCTTCATTATTTTTTATAATATTGTCCTTTGTTCGTTCACTTATCTGGTACATACGCGAGCACCGCATAACACGCAAAATTTTCACCGGAAGACCATACGTATATATCCACGTATACCCAAGTCAAAAGGCACTTTGATACACTTTGCACTTTAATATTTTTTTTTAACTTTTGCATGTAGTATAGTCGGGACGCGTCACGTCCCGACGCAACCTGCGGCGAATCAGACTCCGATTGTCCACGCGAAACAAAAGGTACTGTTTACACGTTGCGCCCTGAATTCCCTTGCTCTAAAAACTGCGCGATGGCAAGAGTTTCTTCCTTTTTTTTTTTTTTTTTTTTTTTTTTTCTTTCTTTCCCTCCTAACAACAGCTGATTCGGAAAAATTTTTCAGGGCCCCTACTTCCCGAGAAAATAATGACCATGATTTTACATTTTAAAGGTGACACCGAACTGCCACCGAAAAATCCGAGAAAAGCCGTGGTGGTGACGGACAACGAGACCAACCACCGGATATCACACGCGAGAATGCCAATACGAGGACGTGTTGAGGGGACGCTAACGAAAAGGGGGAAGGTATTTTCCTCTCTCGGTCAAAGGTGAAATCGGAAGCCCTCCGGGAATCCCTTTGGGCTGTTATTGGCCGCGCGTGTCTTCGTCCTGTGCGTTTGACCACCACAAAGGAGCTGCTGCAATACCACTAGTGTCACTACGCAGCGTCTTGAGCAGGGAAATTAATTTTGGATGATCGGCGGGAGTCACGTGATATGCCTCGTAGCTTTGTCTCTTCCCTTACATGTGCATATTTTTTAAAAGGGTTAAGGGATACTTTCCAATCTTCTCTTATTACCTGTTGTGCTATAAACATGCTCTTCATGGATAATGAATGAACAAGAGTGGAGCAGTATGTAGGTGGGGGCTACGCAACGATGTCCATGTCGGAGGACGAGTTAGAGGTTGTGGGCGCCAGGCTGCCGAGGGTGTCCTCGTCGGGAGCCAAGTGGTGGTGGCAGGGCGGGCTGAGGGGCGGTAGGTGAGGCGACGACAGCATAGGGTCGCCGCCGTGCACTGGTCCGGCAGTGTCGTCCTCCATGAGATCCTCGAGTTGGGACATGCTCAGGGCGCCGGTGCTTGCGTCCTCCGTCACTATGTCCGGCAGTTGGAACATCAGCTGCGACAGTGTGCTCTGGAGCGCCGATTGCCGCGTTTTTTGGAGCTGCAAAATTTTTTCATATTTTTGGGTTGGATTTTCGTTTTGTGTTGGTATAATGGCGCAGCGATTCATTTAATGCTTTCATTGACAATTTTTGTTTTAGGATTGGACCGATAGTGTTATTGTTGAATCTGTTTGTTACCAATTCATAAATCGAGTGTTTGCTAGTAGATTATGTAGACTAGGATACGGATACTTTTTTAATTTTATTGTAATTTGTTTTTTTTTTTTATTTTAATTTGACTTCATTGCAATATTTTTTCAAATTTATTGTAATTTGTTTTTGTTTTTTTTTAAAATCTAATACCACCAATAGTGCTGAAATAGTATATTACGACACTAGGGTAGAAAGTGCCACTTCCCGCCCGCCGAGGACTTTCGACCCAAGGGTTGAAGTATGCAAAGTGAGATCGTATTTTGTCTGGTGAATGATTAATTTAATAAAAGTGTAACTACAGGATTAAAAATGTACAAATATTCATTCCACGTCTATTTAATGTACAAAACGCTTATTTTTCTAAATAGACGATTAGAATTGTTTGAAATAAGGCAGGATTCATTGTTAATAAACAAAGGTTCGCATCAAAGGTTGTCTGGGGTCCAAAGAGCGAAGCCCCCGGAGGCAAGGGGCGCAGCCCCCCCCCACTTCAAAAAACTAAATGATCGTTCAAAAAAAAAAAAAAAAATTATAACCATTTCCCGAACAAAAAAAATAAACTTTATAGAATGAGAGTATCAGTATCAAAAAATGATTATCAGAGAACAACATTGTCATGGGCTCTGCCCTCTAATAGCTATGAGACATAACTGTATAAAATTGTAGTTACTTTCTAAATGTATGATTGAGTGTATATAGTTGTATATACATGAAAGTTAGAAAAAATATTAAAAGTTAGATGCCTGATCTAAAGCTCTAGATACTGCCTCATTAAAATATTTAATTTTTTGTAACAAATTTTCTACAAAATATATAATAGAATTTCATACAATAATCAGGTTTTATTTTAAAGATGTGCAAAGAAAGATATTTGAAAGATGTTGACCTGTGACAATAAAATATCCGAAAATGAAGCTGTACTTGCCATACGTATTTTTGTTTCAGATTATTTCTATTATTATACTCTATACTTTCGCAATAACTTTAGTCTCCATGTTCACTCATGTCAACATAAAATAAAAAAAATAAATAAAAAAAAAAACTGACCGTACCCTGAAATAATGTGATACTTGAACGACTTTTTCTATAGCACTGACAAATCATAAAATTTCTCAGATAAATCCACAAACGCGAAAAATACGTGCTGAGAATTTACTGATTCGTCGCGAAGAGACGCAAAAATTTCAAATTTTCCATCTCCCTGACGTCTGAGAGCGCTATCAGTATATCACTTCGTTTCATAGTACACAGAACACGCATATATGGAGCGAACAATACCTCAAACGCGTGTACATCCCCGCTCCAGAATTTTATTTTTCAAACGCGCGCGCTTACATAACCAAGCCCCGTCAAAACCATAAGTATATCATCTGCGTGGCTCATCGTGTCTTTATTACGTAAAAAAAAGTGTACGTATACAAAAACCGCATAAGTAATCGTCCGATCACACGCAGGGGCCCTTCATGAAAAGAAAAAAAAATAGGAAAACCCGAGGAAGTCGGCAATCGCGGTGTGCGTCCTTGGCTCTCCGAGAGCATTTTATATCCCACGACCTCCCCCCGATAGCATCGCGAACGGAAAGGAAGAGACTACTCCCCGTGCCCGTATCCGCTGCTGCCCGACTCGTCGAAAACTCTCGCGGTGCAGCTATTAAGATCAAGATCGGATCGTTTAATTGCTCGAGGACGCCGGTCTCTCTCTTTTTTTTTTTTTTATGCGTAAGTAAGTACATCTGCTTGGCCGGAAATTTTTTTTCGTTTACGAATTTGGTTTCGCTCGCTTCATTAGGTCGAAAATGTGGCGTTTCGACGTTGACAAATTAGCTCGTGATTAAGTACACAGTCAAAAGCAATGACCTATTATCGCGCAGTTTGGTTTTTTTAATCGCCGCTAATCATGAAAAAATATATATTTTAAACGTAACGTGTCGAAAGGAGACAAGAGCGTATCAATAAAAGTCCGCAATTCCCCCCCCCCCCGTCGATGGCACTGCACTCGCGATATTTTTGGAAACCATTGTGAAGTATATACACGCGAGATTGCGAAAGATAAACATCATAAAAAAACTTTAATGGTGTGTTTCTGTAAAAAAAAAAAAAAATTAAATAAACAAATAAAACAAAAATCACCGTGTCTATGCGTTATATTTTGCGTACACACACACACACGCACGGTATCGTGCTCGGCTTACAGGTGTAATAATTTAAACGCGAGCGCGTCTTTCTGCTTTTATCAATGTCGTGAATTTTTTACGGCTTCCAGCGTCGTTGTCTGCGATAACAGCGTTACATAAGTTGGGTAAAACTGGGTTGTCTTTTTTTCCACGATTTCGTTGTTTGTACATCACCTGTAAATACTGCTCTATTACGTCGCAGTGTCGAAAAAAAAAAAAAAACAAGCCATTCCGGGCTAAGCTCGCGCAAACAGCTTTGGGCGCGAAAGTTTCGCAAACACGACCTGAAATTTCGCTCGTCTTTGTAAATACCCTCAAAAAAACAACATTTTTTCCACTCCTGCAATATGTATTCAGCAACAAAAAAGAAAAAAAAACGCAGAAGAGTACATTACGAAACGCGAGCGGGATCTAAGATGCGCTTCCTGCGATTATTCGCGGTAATTTTTATTCCATTTTCCGTTCGTTTTTCCGTTTCCGAAAAAAAAAAAAAAAAAAAAAAAAAGGAAAAACAAGATCCTCACCTTCCGTTGCTCGTGCCTGCTCTTAGCGTACGAATTGAGAAGGCCTGCTGAGGAGGACCCCCAGGTGATATCCGTGACGGGGAGCCCGTGGGCTTTGGCTTGGAGCTCGAGTTCCTGGATACGCAGCAGGAGTCGGCGATTCTGGTGCTCTATCTGTTTGTGCCTCAGTTCGTTTTGCTTCATGCGCGAAAGCTCGTTCTTCAGCAGCTTTATGTACTCCACCGAGGATTTCAGGATCGTGCCCTTGTTCGGCCTCACGTCCCTTACGATCTCGTAGTAGCTGTGAATTTTTTGATTATCAGTCGTTTTAGCACTCGATCGGTAAAATAGAAATCCATTCTATCGATATATGGTATTTTTAAAGTTTTTCTTAGTACTTATTCAAGTTTTCGTTAATATACTTGGTCTGAGACTTTGCCAAATGATAGATTTAATACTAGTCTGAGTTATTTTAGTTTGCGTTTTGAGAAATATTCTGAAACAACCTTGATGTAACAAAAAAAATTGTATCGACAATGTAGATTTCTGTTAAACAAGGGTACAATACAGTTCCTGAAAGACACCTGAACTGAGATATGACTATTTTTGCCAATAATTATTAGTGATATCACGTAAAACATTATGATCTTTAATGACAGACCCGACAGGCAGATCTCAATTAAGGTCGGGTATGTATAGATAAACGGGAATTTCCCTGTGGTTTCTCGTACTCCATATGAGAATTTCATAGGACGATTATTTTCTGCACATTTGCATCAAATTCACCTAAAATTCCTCAGTTATAATTTTGAAACTGCTCAACCACGCGATGATTTTTTTCATTGCACACGAGAACAAATAAAAAAATTAGCTATCTATCATCCTCTCTTGCGAAATCACGCGCGCAATTGGTATTTATTACAAAAATTCCTTTTTTTCTTTTTTTTTCTCTCAAATCACAAGCATTTTCGAGTAATTACACATCTCCCAGAGTTTTTCTCCGACGTGCCGGTGTGGAAACACGAATACTCAGAAGCACCGTAACCGGACAAAGTCGGTGATTACATTATACACTTAATAATCTCCTCTCGGCCAATGATACCCCTCCGACTCTTTTCGATACTTGGGGACTCTCTTTCATGCAAATACGCGCTAATCCAATGAGAACAAATGATTCTTTCCGCTCATTGCCATTTTGCTAAAGCCCATCCCCCCCACCCATTTAAACTTTTAATCCCCCTCTTTTTTTCACTGTGGCCCACATTCTCCATGCGTTTTGACATTTAACTTTGCGCGATGGAAAAAAAAGTAATAATCATATCTTATCTCCTACATTCGGCTGATAAATAAATGTTTTTCACTATCGCCTTGCTCATCCAAGCTCGCGCGCGCGATATATCTCCCGATTATGCAATCCTCAAGCTCATACACGGGTAAACTAGTCAATCGACTCGATAAGTTGAAATCCATCGAAGAAGCGGGAGAGAGAGAGAGAAAAAAAGGCTGATCGATACCGATGAGATTCCTAATCTGCGCCGATATATATACACGTCTGTATATCATCGATCGGGTCGCTACTGCAGCGGAAAAAGCCATTAAAATACTCGACGCGTGCCATCATCAGAATTCGATCATTTATAAGGCGGATCGGAAAAATTTCCCAGCTAACCGACGCCTCTTTCGCGCGTTACTGTACACCCACGTGTATTTGTCGAGTCGGGCAAGGGGGATGGGGGAGGAGAATCTCGCGCCTGGAATTTCCATAACACGTCCCGCTTCTTTTGGCTTTCTTTTTCCACGCCCCTCCTTCTCGGTGGGTGTATATATTTTTCCCCGGGATTTTTCGACGTTGTAATATCTTTTCCCTCTCTCGCGGATCCGAAAAATCCCGGCAAAGGCAGCAGGGAATCAAACTTTTTTTTTCCGGCCCGTATCTTCCCTGCCGCCTGTGTGCATTTGTATGGATATTTCTGCGAACTTTTCCGGAGAAAAACAATAAATCCCTCCTTCCCCTTGGCTTCTGTATTTTTATTTATAAATAATGCATTGGATAATGATGCGTCGGGAAGTTGAGAGCTCTTTTTTTTTCATTTTACTACAGGGAAAAAGTTGATTAATAGCGCACTCAATCGGTTAATTTCTCTTAAGAAAAATCTTTAAGACTCGGATGGACTATATACATTGCTATGGAGTTGATGCGAAAAGTTTCGTCAAAGTTTGATTATCCTTGGGAGCTTTGTGCGTGTGCGAAAAAAGTGTATTTTCCTGTCTCGAAAAATTGAGTGTTACGTAACTATAGACTTTTTTTCCGTTTTGTCATTGGTCAATACTACTCATGTGGTTAGTGGTGTTTTTTAAAAATCAATTGCATTAAATTAAAGTAATATTTGATATTTTAAATAAAATGAGTTGACAAAATGTAGAAGTGATCTCGAGTGATGCCATTGGATTTGTTTGCTCGTTAGAAAGTAGATGAAAAATTTTATTTCATTGAAGTGAATATTAAATTGAATTACTAATTTTTACATTGAAAATAGCCTTAGAAAACTTAATTAATATAATTGAGGTCAACAAATCAACTGTTAAGTTGTTTATTAAGAAAAACAATAAGCAAAAAAATGTCAACAAAATTTTGTTTTCTTGAAATACTGTGATTCAGGTGTCGCACAATAACACATTGAAAATTATATTACGTAAGTAATTGTAAATATTATCACAATAATTTAAATCGTGCGAAGCGCGTTTACAATGACTATTAAAAAAAAAAGCTACGAATAATATCAATTTATTAGCGATTAAAATGAGTATACAGTTTGTGTATACCAATACAAAAAAATAATAATACATGGTAACTTTAAATACTTGATTGATTGATTCATGATTGTGTATTAAGTTCTTGTTAGTGAGCACAAATATGATCACTGATGGAAAGGCACACGGTATATAAACAAATATTTATTAAAATCAATCAAATACTACGTTATAAAGAGATTATTTATTTGTTTCAAGTGAACATTATTTTATTTCAATAAATGTTTATTTTGTTAAAATATAATATATGTTTGTTTGTCTTGGTATAAACGTTTATTTGGATTGACGAATTTTTTTTTCAGTGCATGCGCTCGAGAAAGAATGAGATTTATAAAATCAAACGCAACGTTATTTAATTGATGAGAGATTGACGTAACAAGTGAAAATAAAATTCAAAGATCATTCACCTCTTGTATAAATCTTGATAGCACATATATGAAGATCGAATCGTACAATCCTGAAGACGGAAAGAAAAAAAAACCACACACAACCATTACCAGCCCTTTGGAAAAAAAAACTTTGCGAACCGATTCAATGTCGTTCGAGCTGGGATAATAACCCGACCAACAGCCAATAGGAAAATCCGAACCCTCCGTATATATACAATAGAAGGGGGGGAGGCAAAGTCTCCCCAGGCGATTAATCAGAATTTCCGGGCGCGAAAGCTTTCTCCCTCGTCGCGCCCACCGTCTCTTGATTATTAAACACTCTGTAGCAATTTCCAGCCCCCCCCCTAATTCCCCCCAAAGTTCGACGAATCGCTCGATTCCGTGAAAAGACGCGAATTGATATACCCCCGACTGCAGTCGAGATAACGCGTCCCCCCCCCCCTACTTGCGTGAATTAATCGAACTCGTGCTCCGCCACGAGAGTGTAAATCATCACGGAACACTTTCAATTGTTATACCATCTGTTTCTCAAGACGCTCTGCGTTTATATAAAATCCAAACAGAGGCGTGGTACCATCTTGTAATATGTGTATACATATAAACAGTGAAGACGTTGACAAATGAATTAGGAGCCGCAACGGCGGATTGATAAATAGCCCGGGCTCCTCCCCCCTTGTATATATTTTATTCGGCCCCCCTTTTCCCCCCACGTGTTTCTTCAGGGAAAAGGTTTGGTTGTATGTATACGGTGCTCAAATTGCACCTATGGTCCGCGCGGACGATAATGCATATGGAGGTGGTGCCTGACTTTGAGCCTCGATCGCGGGGTTTGATTTATCGTCCATAACCTTTTTGACGGACAGCCGCTGCATAAGTGGATTGTTCGCACGGGAGCCAGGTGATAGGGGTTTGGGGGGAAGAGTTGAGATTTTTTTTTTTATTTCGGTGAGGTAATCGATGTCTCTTTTAAAGTTTGTTTAAAGGTATAGTTTCATCCAATCCGTGTGCATGTCGTGACTTAAAGGGTTACAAACTTGATGTTTTGTTTATGTTTTACATTTATTTTCATTGAAATGCACCACAAAATGCCACGATTTTTTTACTAGAAACTACGATTTATCAATTCATACATTTTTTTTTTATAATGAGAAAATATAGAAATAAATATGAGGTGATTCTCGATACTTTGATAAATATGTTTCCAAAGTTTTACAGTGGTTTGTGTATTTTCTGACTTTTGACCATCTTTAATGCGTTTCACACTGTAATTAGATGTTGCAAAATTATTAACCAAGTCTAGTTTTTTTTTCTCCAACAAAATCGCTACAAATTGAGTAGTTTAAATATGGTAAAAAAAAAAAAAAAAAAAAATTACAAATTTTTTAAGCAATTCACACCTGGATAATTTTTAAATATTTTGTCTAGCAGCTATTACAGCCTAATTTGATTGTGAGATACAGATGCTCTTTATTCGAGCCCAGATTCAATTTCCGGTCTATTTTGGTTGTAGGAATCCACAATGTATAAATATTGGCGAATAATAAAAATTAAGGATTAGGGATTAAGGATCCTTAGATAGTCTTTTTAGGATCAACGCCCTCCATACAGAGAGGTAGTAGAAAAAAATTTAATAAAAAACAAATTGTAAATATGTAGTAGTTGGAGAAAAAAAAATAAGCTAGGGTTTACTAAAACCGGATTTCAGTTAGAAGTTTTTGTTATTACGAGAAATGTTAACTTTTTTTTTTTATTCAACCGAATACCTCATGCTCAGTTGAAATACCACAACAGAGTGTGAGTAATAACGCAAAAACGTGCACCGACTGCGTTTTCCCTAATTAAAAATACCAACTTTGTTTTCAAACCTCACACTCTGAGTCATCCCTCGAAACGAATATTAACACTCGCCATAACAATCCAGAAAAAAAAGATGCACCGTGACTAAGACAAAAAAGAAAACAATCGAAAATACACTATACCGGAGCCGTCGACCCGACGACAAATACGCCGAAAAAGTGTCGACCCATCGCACAACGAACAAGTACTCGATCGTTATTCCCAATGCATGACCGGTGATGTGCCCATTTTTTTCACCGCTTTGTCCTTCGCGCTCGCTAATCGCCGGCTCGACAAAATGAAAAATAAAAAAAAACGAGAGAATCGCAGTTTTCCAAGACGCCGCTCGTTAGCGCCGACTGTCTGTGTCATTTTCGCTTTTGTACCCTCCCCCTCCCTCTATACTTTGCTATTGTATACGCCGACGTTTCCTCGTTTTCCATTCACGTCTGCAAAAGTGGTTGTATACTAAACTCTTTGGCGTCACAATTCCCTGCCTTGTTGTATGTTTCCCATTTTTTTTTTTTTTTTTTTTGTTTACCGATGAAAGGACTCTTTCTTTTTTTTCTTTTATGAAACACGTGTGTGGCTAATTATTTGTAATGACACAGTTGTCTGACAAAAAGGACCATTTTCACAAAGGGTAATATCAAAAAAAAAAAGAAAAAAAGAAAATAAAAGGGGGCAGGAATCAGAGAGAAAAGTGCGGCACTTACGGGTCGTTGGTCTTGGGTAGGAGGGTGCCGAGCTCCTTGATCCTGTCGTTGATGTTGAAGCGCCGCCTTCGCTCGACTGAAAACAGAAAATCAATCGCATCAATCATTGAGAGTCTTTTTTTTCCTCTCGTGACATCGATACTTTAGATCCTTAGCTTTTTTTTTTTTTCATCAATCACGCGCACACGTCCCAATTAAAAGATATTCACCATTCACCAGCAACGAAAAAAAACAAAAAAAAAAACGAGTACGTGCAGCACGTTGTTCGGTGACATAATTAAAATGATCAGACTCTCCCTCCACGCGCATTTGCATAACATCAGATAAAGACACGACGCCAAATTGTGTACATGTCACTTACGTGTACATATGTAACCCACACACATGTGGGGGGACACTCGATAATCGTACATCAAGATAACCTAGATAGAACTGCTTGTTATTTACGATATCTCTCTCTCTCTCTCTCTCACTCTCCCGGCATGCTGATGGAGCTCATCATCATCCTGGACTGTCAAACACGAAATGCAGTGAGTGTATGTACTTTTCGCCATCGTCGCAGGCGAATTTTTCCGCCGACTGCATTTATCGAGGGACTGTCTTTTGCAAGAGATGAAATTTAAAATGCGACAAGTGTTGCGAGACTGACTACAAGCTGAACCTTCGGACTGAAGAAACGCGTGCGCGCAACTATTACGCACTAAACGAAAGTGGGCCGCGTGGCTGTAGGTCCGAGTTTTTTTTTTTTAATTTAATTTTGAGTTTCGAGTTTTCATGATGCAATCATTGCGCGTTTGTCGATCGAGTCCAAAGAAAGTACGTAATTTGGAATCATTGTGCTCTCTTTAAATTTATAGTTGTAAAATATGGAGGGGAAAAAAATTAATATCCCTTACAAACACGTTACGTTACAGTTTTTTTTTTTTTTTTTCTCTCAGTCTTACTGACGTCAGGGTACTCGAGAATATTTTTTTCGGCATAAATTATGCATTGTACATTAAACGAGAAATTTACTTGTTTAATTTAATTCAGTTACATTGTTTGAAAAATTTGAGTTTTAGTATATACAGTCAAAAAATTATACTCATAATAAAACAAATCATTTTATGTCAATGATGCGGTCCATTTTATTTAAATCTATTTAATTAAATATTTAATATTCAATTTAATTTTTAACGTTGATTCACTTTTTTTTGGCTAGAAAAATTTTCATTGAATATTTTTATTTTTATTTTTATTTATTTGCAACCCTGCAGAGGTATATGCAAATACCTGTTCGCAGGCTGGTTTACCTTAACTTTAATTACAATGTATATAAAAGATGTATTATACATACAAGTATTGTATATTATACATTTTTTTCTGCAACAATAGCGATGCATTGCATTTCCGAAGAAAATTTTCACTTTGTCAAGCCCGCAACAATTAACAAAATGTTCAACATTTTGAAATTTAAGTTTTGTAAAAGGGATCAATTACCATAAAGTTTGGAAAAAATTAAATTATTGCTCTTTAGCCGACCACACGTATCTGCAGCGTCTTCGTTTTCACGCAATTCAAGTCTCACAGAGGAAAATCGAGTCACCCAAGAATCACCCGAAAAATTAGCCATCTTGTCTCCCGTACCCTGCACAATACTAGAAGCGACGAAAAGCAAAACAAAACAAAAGAGCCCAACAAAAGAAGTTCTCGCTCGGCGATCGATGCTACCGCTGTCCCCCTTATTGTCCGACCGACTTGGGATGGAACTTTGTCCCGTATACTTTTTCGAGAGAAAAAAAAAAGGGAGGGAGAAACGTCCCGTGCACACCTGCGACAACAAGTTCTCGCCCTCTTTTTCCTCCCCCGCGTTTCGCCGAAACGTAGAAAAGTTGGACCAGTTGTACGAGGCTGATTAGATTGGGCTCGTTAATTCGGGGACATCGGACGTGTCTTCGGAAGACAAGTTGCACGTATATATACATGAACGAGTGATGCTTCGAAAAGAGGCGTGTCATTACAAAAGAGGCCGGCAAGGGGTGGTGGGGGAAGCTGATACTGAATTCACAATCGTAGCTGCTGCATAACGCGTCGGTCGCGACGCGAATGACAATGATCCGCGAAGGCTCGATTATATTGTTCGAGAAACTATGGCGCTGAGAAAGTCGTCCTTGCGCTCGAGCGAAACGCGAGAGGCGAATGAATTTCAATTGGAGGGTGCGCGCAGCGTGTATTTATGTGAGTTATTGGCTGGAAGGCCGTGGAGATTATTGCTGCTACTGTGCGCGTGTTTCTTTTTTCTCTTTTTTTTATTTTTTATTTTTTTTTTTATTTTTTTTTTTTTTCATTGCTGTCGAGCCATCGGATCTTTGATAAATTCCTTGGAGACGATGATTGAGGCGCAAGTCGATGTGTCTTTTCTTCGACTTTTTTGTTTTTTTATTTATATTTTATTTTTAAAAAGCTTAGTGTGTTGAAATAGGCTTTGGTTTCGTTTTGTTTTCTGCTTTATTTTTATGTCCCAAAGAATATTTTGCTTCTTGATTGATTACTCGCAAGTTTTTTTGTGTATAAACGTAAAGGTTAAAAAAAAAAAAAAAAAAAAAATTAATTGGGTTCATCAGATAGGTTGTCAAAAAACAATGGACACATATTTTGTATTTTTTTCTCAGTAAAAATACACACTCATGTATTTAATATAAGTATTAGATAATCTCGAAGATAAGACTTCCTTAATAACTTTTGTGTGACGTATAGATTTAACGCGCTTTTGTCTTTGTCAGTTTTGTTTACCTCCTCCCCCCAAAAAAAAAATCTCAAATATGTAGTTTTCTAATCTTGTCGGCAAAATAATCTTTGGAAAATTCAAATCGAGATAAAAAAAAAAGTCAAAAATTTGATTCAATTGACAAATCACATCAAGCACCTTGAATTATGTAATTACTAACACCAAAAATGAAAAGTCGCTCTTCACAATATTGCACACCTATTCTCCGATTACCCGTCTCATAGATACTTCTCCTGGCGGTCAATAGCGACTCATCGCGCGTTTTATTGAATTTTCCAAAACGAAAAGTTCGTCAAAACCATTGAATCGAAAAAAAAGGGGGAAAAAAACCAAAGGGGGTGCAAGGAACCGAACGTGCGTTGTTTTTAAAAAAACTCGAGCAATAAACTCGGGCGGTCACGCCCCGGCATTCTAAGCGCGCTCTTCCATTTCCAACCGAGTCCTAATTAACATCGACTCACGGCTCGCTTTTATATCTTCCCTCCTTCCCACTCACCCTTTTTCCATTTGTTTCGCCCCCACGCGTGTACTTGCCCACACACACACACAAAATTTAGCCCTTTGGAAAACCGCGATATTGGCTCGAGTTTTTTTTTTTTATATGTGCAGCGCAAAAAAACACAGCCAGAGAACCCTATACATTTGGGACGTTGTGTGTGTGCGCGCGTGGGGGATGAAATCTCGCGCTGGCGTAGGAAGGCTCTTCGCGCGGCTCTTCGGCATATACGTGATCCGAGTGCCCGAGCAGTTGTGTTGCTGCTGCCGACGCCGTGCGTCAAAAATAAATTTCTCCGATGCTTTTTTTTTTCTCCCTCCTCCTCCTCTCCCGATACGTTCTCTGTTTCCTGGATGAAAGTTTAAACAATGCAGCTGCAATCAGGTGCTTCGCGAGTCGTATTTTTTCAGGGACACGGTGTGTTTTTTTTCCAGCTGTACAATTCGGGGCTTCTCGTGCATGTATTTTCTAAAGATGAATAAAAAAAATATGGGAATGTATTCGTGCCCGCCAAAAACCACAAACAGCAGCGAAAAAAAGCAACTCTCAATAATTCGAACTCCAATCCATTTTGACATGAGATCTCCATATCAGCGACGCGGGTATACATGCCCGCGGAGTGCAGCTTTTTCTTTGAGTCACGAGAAAAGAGATTCGAAAAGCAAAAACGGGCGAGGAGCTCCTTTGAGAAATTTTCGCTCCGCAGCAGTAGCAGCAGCGAGTGAATATTTGATGCGCAAGCTCTTACGGCAGGAGAGTACGGTACCACCACAAGAGTGCGGTGTGTCTTCATTGAACTTTCGCGTTTTTCTTTGTTTTTGGTTTTTGCGGTTCATTACAAATCACTTTATTTTTATAAGTCGAGAGCAAACCGATAAGCCATCAAAATTTAATGTCGAGCTACTGAACGACGCGTCATGGTCATGAGTAGTATTGTTAGATTAATGTCACTAGATTAAAAATATCACAGTGTTTGTTTCGAACTCACGACTGCAGATATCCCATATTTTTAAAGATTTACGGTTACGCAATTGAAGCATTTTTGTTTGTGTTGTGATTGGCTTAGAGATAACCACGTGGTTTTATCAACGGAAATGTTGAGTATTAGTTCGATAATAGTTTGTGACCTTTGAAGAAACAATTAGACAAACACAATATTCGATAAACAGTTACATAAAGTCAGAGTATAAAAAAAATTGATTCAATATTCATCTTTTTTCAGCTATGGGGTTTAAATAAAAGGTTATCTTGATTGGTGACACCAAAATTACGTATGAGTAAAATGTATGGTACATATGCTTGTAGAGATAAAAGAAGAGTATTCGTAAATGACTGTGAAAATATTATAATGATAACTTTATCCCACGAAACGTGTTTGAAACAAGCAGAAAAATAAAAAGTAAAGCGACACCATCATGCGGCGAAAACTTTTCGCAGTTATGGGTAACCTATGTAACACTTACTCATATTGTGATTGTCCTTTTTCTGTCTGTCCTTGGCGAGCGCGTGGACTTCCGCGTCGGTGAGTAAAAGAGGCTCGTGCTTTACCGACAGATCCGTCAAACTCGTCAGACTACCCGTCAAACTACCGGACTGACCGTCCTTCAACCCATCGCCCAGAGAACCTGCCTCGAACGAGAGTATGTCGTCCAGAAGATCCTCCGCCTGCAAACACAAACATGAATTTTATTTTTATGGATGGTTGAGGGAACTTTTTTTTTATTGTAGTATCGAGTAAGCAATAGCTATCTGATTTACTATAACTTAGCTTACGAATTGTAATATTTTTTAAGACCTTAAAAACATGTGTCTCGAAAAGCAAAATTTCAGAGATTGTTTTTTCGCAAACATTAAAAAGGTACTCTGAAATAGCTAAGGTGAAATACCCAGTGTAAGAACAATTACTAACATCCAGTTGTTTAAACGGCCCTAGGTAATATGTTTTTGAAGATTTTATCCTAAAAGAAATCAATTCAAAACGATCAAAACAGGAAAAAATACCTGTTTCGTTGTATTACTGTTTTAGCCCACTTACAGTTATAAAACATAACCTCAAACGTTAAAATGTATGTCCTAGTGTTGGAACGTGATGTTTCGTCAGATATACACCAATGATAAACTAGATTAACATAAAGTCATTAAAAACCAAAATAAAATTCTACAAAAGTAATAGAAATGTTAGGCTTATCACTAACTATTACCGTCACCAATACTTTAACCTTTGTTTTGTCAGATACTTCCAAAAATAATATTTATTTTTCAATGATTTGCATAACCGTTTCTAGTTTAACATTTTTTCATTTTATTAATCCTTTAAAAAGCTTGAAAGAGTAACAAGAGAGTTTTAAAAAAAATTTTTTTTTTAAATTGACCAAACCCTAACCTATTTTCTCATCTCTTTACTCGCTCTATCAGTACTCTTTTTTTTCCTACAAAGAATAAACACCCACTTTGGCAAACATCTTAATCATCGCACTAACTTCGCTCTCGCGTGATGAGGTACAAAAACCGTATACGTAATAGGTCCAACATACGTCAGGGGACGTCCAAACTTTCCGGAAAATCGACAAATCAGAAAGCCGAGGGTATAACGTAGCGTATACCCCGCACCGACCCAGCGGGCCGGCAGCTTCCTCCGGAATCCGTCTTCCGGTCACGACAGCTCGATCGAGCGGATGATCGATATAAACGTGCGCCCCTCAGGTGTTACAACATCCACTCGCCCGATTTATGGGGCTCCTTTGCTCGCGTGCTCGGCTACTCATTAATATTTCCACAGGGCGGGTCGCCTCTTCCTTTTTGCGATGAGCGAACTACTCCAAACTCTCGTGTGGTCTCGGTAAGGTGGTAGGTTTTTCGAAAATATTTGGCAAACCACTTGATTTTACCTCAAAAAAAAAATTTCACTCATTTTTTTTTATTATCACACTGTTTTTTTTGTCACCAAGTTTAATTTGATTGAAATATATTACAAAAAATATTTAAAAAAATTCATTTAATCAAGTTTAACTTGTTTTTAATGATTGGTAAATGTGGTTCTTAAACTTGACTTGTTAAAAAATTACACTCCAGACAAAAATGGCCCTAATATTGTACGGTTATGTATCAGGAACTTGGGCATAGCTCAAAGTATTAACAAAATTGTAGAAAAGTCACTTTAGATTCACTATTTTTCAAAGTTAGCTCTACAAAATTTGAGAAGAAAATACTACCCGAATTTGTTATTTTTTTCCCACCCAGTCGTCTGTACACACACTGTGCTTGCAAAACATTTACAAAAGAGTGTCCGATCGAGAGAAAAATGGAAAGAAACTCGCTGTATCGGGAAAGTGGAGCAAAAGACGAGAATAACAGAGCGTACCCACGTCCGAGGACATCATCTTTGGAAAAAGCGCGCGCGTATATATGTATATACAAAAAACAAAGAGTCGCGCACGGAGAGACGGTTCCGTCCGGTGGCCCGGCGGCATTATCCCCTTACTCTCCTTTCTCCTTCGATAAAACTCGAAACAGAGAACTCGGGAGATTTCAAATTCAGTTTGCCCCCCAATACTCTTACCGTATTTTTTTTTTCTTGTACAAAAATACACGTAATAAAAGCCTTTTCTGTATTTACAGCGCACTCGCGTCGTCGTTCAATGATTCGTGGAAATAATTGTAAAAGGGACCATCAAGTATAATTTTTTTATGAGAAATGAAGGAAAAAAAAATTATTATTCCTAACTCGTCAAAGTCCAACACGCAACAACAAAAGAGCACAGTCGGTATAGAGTATATACACGCACGTGTACTTTGTTCGCGCCAGACTCTCGCTTCTGCAACTACTATTGTTTACGCAATATGTTTATTTACGTAAGAACTACGGCGTTGCTTCTCCCCCCCCCCCCGCGCTCTATATCAATAATGTATATGTATATAACTCGGCGACAACTTCAACTATTACCACCACCAGAGTACCCGCTCGAATTTGCATTCGGCTAGTATATGCGAGTTTTCCTACGGAATCACATGCAGAGCAGCAGTTGCACGTCGGTTCGCCCTGTATGTGTGTACGTGGCGCTGACCCGCAACTCCCTCCAATACGTGACGCCCGACTTTTCCGGGGACTCTGCAAATATGTCCCGGCTTTCTTGGAAGGAGACTACGCGAGCTCGTTACATGGGGGAAGGCCACGGCTACATGTGCCTTGAATTCCTGAATTTTCGAACTTTGCCGGCCTGATTATTCGTCGTCGAACCCTCGCGTGTACGATTCCTCGCTCGTGGTGGTGTTTATGTTGACGCTATCTCCCCCTCGTGGGTTTTCCCTGTACATTATGCAGTACTCGTTTGGTTCCCGCTTGGGTGAATTTGGCTGCCTCTCATTGAGGTTTTTTTTTTTTTTTTTTTTTTTTTTCAAGGGGGTTCATACTACAAAATGGTCACTTGTGCTTATGGTGCTTATTTTTTTTAAGGTTGCTCAACTCGCAATACACCACCTGTTGTTGTTTCTCAAACAAATATACCCTTTGTTTTCAAGAACATCATGTAACAAGATTCAAAACTTGTCTTGTTACAAAAATATCTTGGACCATAATAAAAAAAAATAATAATAATAATAATCAACAACTAATCAATGAATAATCACTACAGATTTTAGTACTATTGTTATCCTTGGGTTTGCGATTACGCACATTGTTATCTAATAAATATCAAAGATTGTAATGAAATTTAAAATGTATTTTTAATTGTTACCAAATAATTATACCGTATTATAGATATTAAAGCACATTTTTTTCGTTTATATCCAACTGTTTACACTTATGTAACTGGCCCTTTTTTACGTAAGCAAATATGACGATTGTAATAGTATGTTTTTTGTTATCAGTCATATGCTGACACAAATCCAATACTCAAACGATCATTGTAACGCATACAATTGTGTCAAGAAAAAATTTCGTAAAATTCTGGAAGTTGGTATTTTTAAAAGTTTATGTATTCCGAACTTGGTAAATTTTTTATTTGTTACACCCCAAAGAGAAAAATGTCCAAAAATACTTTCACTCTTTAATTTATAGAAAGCTAGTTTTAAAAACGTACTTATGTCCTATCCTCATACACCGTGGACAAATTTTTTAAGATTTAAAACAATCTTTACTAGAATTATTTCAAGTAAAAAATCTCTTAAAATAAAGTGACATTGTCTCACTTTAAGAAAATATTGATTTTAAACAAGAAATCGTTCACGATATAAAAAAATTTGATCTTGTTTCAAGAGAATATTTACTTGGAAGTATTTCTAGTAAAGGTTTTTTGATTCTAATATTTTTATTTTTCCAGTACACAGAGTTACGCCATCCTGGTAGTTCTTACCGGAAAAAATCTGCACCAAAGTGAAGGTTTTCATTCGCGTGTTAAAATGTGGAAAAAGCTCGTATTGGGAAATATATCTTGTCTGCTTCTCTTGGGATCTCTTTAAAAACTTATGTTACTGTATACCCGATTATAAAAAAAAAAAAATACTAATCCTCCAAAGAAATGATTTCGCATTCTTTGGTAGAGAAAAAAAAATCCACCAGAATAATTAAATATACCGCAGCATCCTACGCTGACACGTGCACGATTTGATAGTGATGAGTATCCGAGAACCTATACGTATGCACACATACACACGGGAGTCCAGAATCGGTCGATTAATTGCAAAACTCACCCGCGCTCTGGTACAATCAATCGGTGCCCTTTTCAACGCCGCATCTCTTTGACTTTCGCGAATCACCGACCGCCGCAAGCTCGGCACGATTAAACCACTCGAGCTTTTCTGCCATTGCCCCCGCGCTCGCCCCTCGATGCTGCAACTTTGCCATCAACTCCCTTCCCCTCTGACGAGCGTACCAGTGTGCCTGTGCCCGATGAAATCGCAATTAGCTCCACTCCAAAAGTTGTTGCTCCGACTGCTCCTTTGGGTTTGATGCGCTCATATATGTGTAGTACTGTAGAGTTTTCCTTTGCCTGCCTCTTCCATTTAAATGCTTTACGTGAAACTACAGTGTTTTTCCTCCCGCAAACGGGTAAGGAAGTATCCATGCCGATAGTCGGCCTTGAGTTCAGCTCGCGGAAACAAAAGCTCGTCTATCGCTCTTTGTCTTCTGAAATACCAGTGGAGGATGGAAGCGAGCCTGTACGCGTGTTATGCGTGGGTCCGAGATTCCGGGAAAGCTTGTTTTCTTTCAGAAGTAGGAAAAAATAACGGGAGTCTCTTAGTTGATCAATTATTTCTTCCCGAGATCGAGGATGTAGAAAATTGAAGATTCGCGGGATTGGATGATTTTTTTCTTGGCCTCGTCTTGTGTGTGTTTTTTTTTTTTTTAAAGGATCGATCGATGACAATTTTCAATAAAAATATCAAATTTCGTAGCTTACGTTAGCTCGAAAAACTTAAATAAATGTCATTCGACTAAAATTACACGCATCAAAGATTTACTTACTTTACATTTTTTTTTTTTTTTTTAATTATGGTGGCATTAATTCAATTACTGCATTGACAAAAAATTCCTCAGAATTAAGAAAATATTCGCTTGAATAGTTTCAAGTATCTCAACAAACTTAAATTTTCTAACTTTCAGCAAATATTCATTTCAAACAAGTGAAAAAAATTTTTTTTTTTTTGTGAGCATAATATGTTGTAAA